CATCACACCACATTTCCTGACTCATTTGGGTAAATCTAACCAAGCCAAACCTCTGTTCTATCTATTCCAACCTGTAAACCTGTATCTTGATTTAGCTCATCAAAACATATTTAAGTGTTTCTTTATCACCTTCAGCTGACATCTTCTGCTGCTGCGACAACCAGATCTTAAACGCTTCGATCAACCTTCAAACGTTGAATCTTTATTGGATTGATGTTTGAAATCATGTCGTTTGTTGATGCTGTGTGCCTGCTTGGTTGTCTCAGATTGTTTCATGGTTGTGTTGTGAAGGCAGAGACAGTTTTACACAATGCAGACAATATAGCTGCAAACTAATATTCAGTTGTTTCAGTTTTCAGTCCGTCGCCAGTTTGTTTGATACACCTTTATTGTAGGACTGCATTAGTTTTGCACCCACACACACACACACAAAGATACAATGGTCAAAGTCAACAAAAGACATCACTGCTCTAAATGTAGTGTGTAATGTAGACAATGGCATTTTGGGATCATTCAACCAAACCAAACCTATTCAGCTATGAAGTACAGAACAGACGCTGAGCTTAAAATAACAACATAGCAGAACAGATTGGAAGCAAATCAACAGACCGACCAAACACAGAGAATACACACACACACACACACACACACACACACACACATAAATACAGGGGGAGACAGGTGGTGTGACCGCAGTAACTTCCCCTCCGGCAGTAAAATCTGAATGATAATGCAGCGCCGTTCCCTCCTATTCAAACACTGCGGTGGATAAAACACAAAGCAGAGAAGAAGAAAAAGAGAAAGACGGACAGGAGGGAGAGAGGGAGAGACGGGGAGAGGGGGAAAAGCTTTTAACACTCTCACCAAAGTCGTGAAGAAAACGCAGTTGCTGCTCCTGTTGACACTTTTCGATTTTCGGCGCGATTTGATGACGTAATTTGTTTCCGGAAGCGCGGGACTCTGGTAGCTGTAGTTTTCTGCACTTTCTGGCCAACGCTTCCTCTCAATGGATACCTTTTTCATTTATATATCAATATCAATGCTAGATTGATTAAATATTTGAACTAGCGTTATATAGTTGATAATTGTTAAAGAGCAGTTTAAATATCTCTGTGTTTACTTAGACAATATAAAAACAGCAGCACATACTGCTGATGTTCAACATGAACTGTTTCTTATTGGACTAAAGACTGGGACCCTGCATGGAAGTATTTTCAAACCACAGTGAGGGAAATACTTTGTCATTAGATAACTGATTCAAAAGAAAGCTTCATATCTAAATTAAACATGTGACTAAGGGTTTAGGGTAAACCAGGCCATCTGTAAGTCTTTGGGAACTATAGGGACTCTATGACTCGGTAGGAAAAGTTAAATAGTTCTAAAAAAAACAAAAACATTAAAGACTAGGCTATATGGCTGACATTTTAAAGGAAAGAAAAAAGAAAGGTAGAAAAATCTTTCCGTCTCTCTGTTGCTCCCTCTCAGATCCTGTGGTAAAGCATCGGCCAACACCATCACCCACCAACCACCAACTGGATGACCAGGAGGTGAGGTCCCTCCACCAGCGCAGCACAGCGCCACACAGAGGCCTGGTACAGACTGACAGCCCGAACTTCCTCTGCAGCAGCCTGCCACAGCACTGGAGGTGTAACAAGACCCTGCCGAGAGTCTTCACTGTGAGGAATGATCTATCTATCTATCTATCTATCTATCTATCTATCTATCTACATCTACCTTTTAACCAGAGTGTATCCTTCCAGACAGGCCGTGTTCTCAGACTGTCAAATGTCTTAGGGTAAAGGACCAGTCCTAACCTTTCTCCATCTTCCAGGTGGTTGCCCTGGGCAACGACGTGCCAGACGGCGTGGTTGTCACAGTGATGGCTGGCAATGAAGACAACAGCAGCGCTGAGCTACGTAACGCCACAGCAACCATGAAGCAAGGCTACGCCCACTTTAATGACCTCCGCTTCATAGGTCGCAGCGGGAGAGGTAGCTAGATAGATATTCAACTGAGGGATGAGTCAAGGTTCAACACACTGAAGAAAACATTGTAGCCTATCATCCTTACATCCTGCTCCTCTATTGATTTCCAAGTGTTGTACTTGAAATGCCCTCCCTCACGCACAAATTGTGTAACTCAATATCTATAATCTTAAAGTTAGGATAAACAGAAACAAGACTTCTGATTCAATCAATTATTCATTATACAAGCAGTATCAACCCATCAAGTGATCATTTTTTCAAGTCAGGTTTATTCATATGACCCAAAAGAACAAGTTATCTCCGAGGGCTTTGCAGTCAATCTTTGCAACATATCTATCCTTATACCCTTGATTCAACTTCTTCAAAGCAATGTTAGTGAGGGATTGAGGATAGACAGTGGAATGAACAGATTGAAAAACCAACTACGAGATAAAATGTACTTGATTCAAGGAGCCTTTTAAACATGAATTACCATAACAGGTCATCCTATGTAACTAGGGTTTGTTGTTAACTTAAGCTACTTTTACAACCTCTATAACTTACCTGTACATGTGAACGGGTGTGTTATTTTTTCAGGCAAGAGTTTCACACTTTCCATCAATGTGATGACGTCGCCCCCTCAGATTGCCACCTTTCACAGAGCTATCAAGGTTACTGTGGATGGACAGCGGCTGCCAAGAAGTTAGTACACACCAGAGAAAATGATATGATTATGATTAACCAAGCTTTCAGTTCCAATGACTGTCTTCCGCTCCGCCTCTCTCACAGGACAGAGGCAGAAGGATGTGAAGTCAGGAATGTTCAGGTCATCCAGCAGCAGCACTGCATCATCAGGTACGAGAGGACGGATGTCATTTAGATCCTCACTTTTTAAATTAGGTGAAAGTAGAAATGTGAGAAAGCCGTGTTGAGTGTTTGTCCAACCTAAAAATGATTATATCCTATCTTTTGACTTAGCTGCATCTCATGTCTTCTTCAGTGGATGGAGTTTGCTCAGTTGTCATAAAGAAGGGTCATAACAGAGGTTAAATAATTATGTCATAACTGCACAAACCCCATGCACTGATGCAATGCAGCTGAAAGCTCTGGAAAAACCTTGAATTAAGTACTTCTTTTTCAAATTTTAACAATGGACTTTTATTATATGTTTCAGATTTTTGTTTGGCCAAGCTGATGATGTTGTCTCTCTCCAGATTGTAGATCCTATTCCTCCTCTCTGTGGACCAGTGAGCCGTCATTCCTGGGCCAGGTGACTTCTCTGACCCCCTCCTTCACTCCAAGTCCCAGAATGCACCACCTGCCTGCCCTCTCCTACTCCACCCAGGCCACACCATACAGCTCGTACCTGTGTTCTCCTCCTCCTCCCCCTCCGCTGAGCCACGGTGGTCAGTTCCAGCCGGGCAGCTTCTATTACGGACCGAACCAACCGGTCCAAACAACGGGGGATGATCGCAGCGTTGTCACAGCTCTGTCCAATTATATTGAAGGGGCGTGTCTTTCTTTAAGGGGGGAGGAGGCTGTGTGGAGGCCTTATTGATGATTGGATGTGTTGTGTTATACATCATCTTAAAGTAGAGTCTTTCATGTTATATTTTCAGTCTCCCACCCACCTGTAAAAAGAAATCTTTAAACTTGTTTTTCAGCATGCCTAACTTCTCTGTACCACAGTGATTATATTGTTCTTATTTATTGTACTGTTGTGAAAATATTTATTAATTAATTATTATTTAATAGTTATTTAATACTTTTACATATACTTTGGGTTAAACAATAACAGCAGTTGTTATACAATAAAAGCATTTATTAGCAACAAGTGTATTAAAAAAACAGCATTAACTTAATCTGAATACACAAAAGTTCATTACCAATAAAACAATTAACCCTGAATCAACCCCCTGAGTGTTTGAGAAGCCTATACAAACTGTTTTGACAAACTCAACCAATGATCAGTTTTTAGAATTTTTTTTGCTGATTTATAGTGACTTAAATCTTAAATATTTGTTGGTAAATAGTGACAAAATTCAAGGTTTAGACAAGTTGCAATACTGCTAGTATTACACGTGTACATAGAAAACGGTGAGATGCCAAACAATCTTTGAATATGTAAAACAACAGATCCATGAAAATATAAAAAGCAAATGGTCGATGACGATTCCTGTGAAGCTATAAAAACATTCTCTGTATGTAACAGTTACGATACGATACAAAGTACGATAAAAAACTGAGGCTATGATGTGTCTGCAGTTCAAGAAGACTCGGCTTCTGACTACAGGTGCAGTGGGTGTGGCCTCGTTGGAAGAAATACGAGGGGCGTTCACTCACCTCTAGGTATTCTTTATAGTATATATAATCAAGAGGGAGAGAAACCCCAGTCCCAGTACTTTGGCTCTAAATGCCCTCACTGTTTTGCATGTTTTAAACAATTAACTATGAATCAATCTGCAATTACACCACTAGATGCCACTAAATCCTACACAGTGGACCTTTAAATTATGTTGCAGTCTATTAGTCAGTCAAACACCTTCTTCTATAAGTGAAGTAGTGAGAATACTTTCCTCTTTGGGTAATGAGTCATTTTATTACAATCAATACATTTCCCCATCGCAGCAGTTGTGTTGACTGCCCACCTATAAAGCACTAAGTTCAGCCACTCTCCTGCTCCACTCCTCTTCTGTCATTTCTTCTTCTTCTGCTCCTTCCTTATCATCCTCTTCTACCTGGTGCTCCCCTGAAATACAGTTGATTATGTTACAAAGATAAAAACACCAGCCGATGGAACAAGAAAAGCCGTTATTGCAGTACAATATCTTTTTTGTTGAACATTAACATAGCAGTGTGAGTATGTGCGTGTGTGTCCTAACCAGTGCAGGTCAGTGCAGTGCAGACCCAGTTTCCACAGGCGCACACACACTTGTTACACTCCATCTGAGTTTCAGCTCCGTCCTCGAACACTTCGTCCTCCAGAGCACACTCTGCACACACATCAGAAAACATACAGGTAAATGGATGTATAAGAAAAACAGCTATTAGTCAACACAATCTGATATGGCTGTGTTAGACATGTCTTTTTTATATATTTTTTCCAACATAATATGCATAAACTGTGTCTTTAAAAATGTATTTGAGATTCAGACAGTATATATTTTCAATGTAATTTCTGTGTATTTTGTACACTTGTATGTGTGTGTGTGTGTGTGTATGAGATTACTTCTTTCATATGGATGGTAGGTGGATGTCAGACAGTTGATGAACTCAGTTAAACTCAGTTTCCAGTCGGCGTTTTCATCCGACAGCTCTATCAAAGCATCAACACACAGAGACCTGAGACAGAGAGAGAGTGGCATTAATGGAGGAGTCCACACATTAACTGTTGATTATAAGGATTTAATTACAACATTCGTTCAGTAAATCATATTTGAAACAAATCAAATGTACAGTTCAGACTATGTTTGCAGACTGACATTTTTTATACAATTCAAAGAACTAAGCCAATATTTGACAAATGAAGCTGAAAGGTGTATGTGTGCATAGAGAAAAGGATTAGTCATCTAGTAAAGCTTCGTTGAGCTGCATATCTCAATATGAGGTTCTGAACCACACTTTGTACAGTATGTGATGCTCAAAACACCAAATATATTACCCATGATAATCAAACAGACCCAGTGATGGTAAGTAACTCAGCACATTTGCTCAAGTGTGCTGTACCTTTTGTACAGTTGTAAGGTACTTAAGTATTTCCATTTTCTAGATGTAGATAGATCTACAGAGGGAGCAGGTCCTCTTCTATGGAGGCCACCATGTAAAACTACCATGTTTCTACAGCAGCCCAGCAATTAGCAACTACACCCTTAGATGCCACTAGATCCTACACACTGGCCCTTTAAGTAAAATTCTGAATGCAGGACTTTTACTTATAACAGAGTATTTCTACACTGTGATATTTCTACTTTTACTTAAATAGAAGATCTGAGTACCACTGAAGAGACCTTTATATACTGTATAACAGCTGAACTACCACACTAACTAGATGAGTCCCAACTACCTCCACATAATCTTCTGCTTCACTGTTCACTGTTATTACTCACTGACCGTTTTCTTCATCAAATCACTGTGTCTGTGTGTACCTCAGTAGCAAGTTCGTCTCCAAAGTATTAGAGTATGTCAGATTGAGGGCCGTCTCATTATGTTTCAGGAAGCTCAGGAACTCTTTGGAGTCAAGCTCTGAATCCCCATTGTCATACGTCTGTAACATACAAACACAGAGTTAAAAAACACTGAATTTAAAATATCAATTTCAGCTTTTCACCTATAGTTGGAGCGCACTTGGCTCATAATTAGTCAAGTTTTGTCCAGGTGCAAAATATGCAACTGAAATCCTTCTCTCTCCTTAAAAACAGAAATAATTATAGGTAACCCATCTTTTTATGATTTAAAATCAAGTTCATGGTTTGTAAAACCAGAGTGGTTTTACAAACTGGCAAATTGCCATAAAAAGTGAGGGAGGGTGAAAGTTCTGACCTTGAAGTACGTTTGCAGGAGGTCATTGGCTGAGGACACATTTGAGGCAGATTCCACCTCCTCCTGAACCCACTGGATCACTCTCTCTCTCAGCCAGTCACGATCAGACAGGAAACACACGACTACACATGCAAACACGGGGACACACAAACAACAAATAAAACTGTATAAAATGCATATAAAATGGCCATTCAATTTTTCATAAGGTCCTTAAACTAAAAAAATAAATAAAAAATGAGTACACAGATTATGAACTAACTCAGAAAATGATTTGAATTTTACATGGTTTTGTTATATTTCTATAATAAGCTGCAGACTTACTGGGGCTCACATCTGTCTTTGTAGGTTTCTCTGCAAATAAAACACACAGACCACTGTCACGTGTCACATACTGCTTTAACAGTCTGTATTGTCTACATACTGTTTGTAGGTGCATGCATGAGTGTATTAGTGTGTTTATACTGACCCAGACAGTGTCCTCTGTGCTCTACATGTATCTTTGTCTGGGTGATGCAGGCGTCTCTGTGCAGCTCACAGTGATTTCTGTACGATCTGCCGTTACTGCCACACACCCAGTGCTCTGTCACATCACACTGCTGCAGAGAGAGGACGGTCAACAGACGTTTCCCAAAAACATAACCTGCAGAAGTAGGCTTAAGACGGCAGAGCCTGAGACCCACTGCAGAGCCTAGAGATAGGTCAACACACCATTTAACGTGAATACTGGGCTTCCATAGGAACGCTTATACGCTTACCTATATTTCCTATAAACCTAAATGAATAGTGTGTTAGTGTGTGTGTGTGTGATCAAATATGTGAATTCTATGTATATGCTTTTTTCAGTTAGATTCTCTACTGATATGTATCATTAAGTCAATTAATAATTTCTGTGATTTGCTGATTGTTTTTATCTTGGGACAAAGGCTTATATGCAAATAAAACAAATTTCATTCGAGTCTCACATAGACTGATTCAGATGTATACAGAGTTTCTGTAATCTAAGAAGTAATCGGATACATTTTAAAGAAGTATTTTGAAAACAGTCTGAGCGACTATTCACTTAACAAGAGGAACAGTCCAGTTCAGATGTATATTGTCCCACAAGAATTAGTTTTAGGTTGTTGTGAATTCAGTAACTTTACCTGTAAACAGCGACAGACTGGTTCTCCTCTGTCCGTTGATACACACTCTCGACCCGCACCACAGAAAGTCCTGGCACACACCGACTGATCCTAAGACACACACAGAGAGAGAGAGAGAGATGTATCTTATTTTCTTGGTATTTCTGTTTTATATAGTAAACAATGTGAAGAAATGGGAAGTTGGTGTGAGTCTGTGTGTGCTTGAGACTCCAGATGGTGACCTTTAACCTCCCACTGGGAGAGGCACATGCCATTTTGAATGACAATGGCTCTCTCAACACACACACACACACACACACACACGCATTACTATCGAGGCAGCTGGACAGCGGTACAGCTCATATTGAGAGTTTTTTTTTCTTCAAAGGTTGGCTCTTTTTTGTGCTTTGGCCGCCATTCCAGATCTGGCGACATGGTGACATGAGCAGGGTCCATTTGGCAACAAGTGCTAAAACTTTTGAACTAATTCCTAGTTTACCTGTAGTGCTCATTTTGAAGTGAAACTAAATGTAAACATACAAAAATATGACAATTTGGCTTTTAATACTGTGATCTGGTGACACTACCAAATGAGTTTAAATAATATGATAAATTGTTTGAGATGTGTCACCAGATCTCAGCAATAAAGTTCTGTGTTTGAGAGGTTTTTGTCTAACTGTATTTTGAGCTGTATTGTATGACACAGAGAGGTGTTTTAGTTAATTAGCCTACCCTAATTTATGAAAATGGGGTGGACAAAATAATAAAGACACTTGTCAGTATATAGCAACACAAACTGCAAAATGATCATAAAGTTGAATCAATAAATCTCTAAAGCAGGACCATTGTGTTAGACTGCATTAGATTTGGCAATGTGTACCTAATAAACCGGCAACTGTGTGTACACACACACTTCAACACCCTCAAGATTAGAAAACATAGACTGTCCTAAACAGACATTTTAATTCCAAACATTCCTATGTACTTACAGGTCAGCAAACCCGACACACACATGCACATGTTTGTACTTGTGAGGAGTGACATACTGCATACCCTCACCCGAACTTTAATCATCATAACTACATGCCCGACCCTGACCTACATTACCAACTCAAACTATAACATGAATTTACAACTTAACGCCCGGACAAAAAGCTTTTACCTTTCCAAAAATATTCTTTCTTTCTTTTTTTTTTAAATGTCTTCACTCTCAGGATCTACAACTCAAATTGTTCCACTCAAGGATGTACAAAAGCACACACACTCACACAATACATACATCTGTCGCCTCCAGCTGACATCTGCTACACCACAAACCTGCTGTTAGCAACCAGTTGACTGCAGCAAAACACACACACACACTCTGCAGTGGTGCAATTACATTTTCATGTGTGATCTTGTTTTGGTCGTTAAACAATTTGTCCACTTGGTTTTGAATCTTTTCTATTCTCTTCTTACTCTCACTTTTCATTCATCTCTTCCTCAACCCGTTTATCCTCATTATTTGTTCTACTTATGCTTCCTTCTGTTTCTTATTCTCTCCATCATGTATCTATTCTTTTTGCTGTCTTCTTTTCTTTGTTTTTTTGCTCTTTCTCTCTACTTTGTTTTTTTTCTTTTCTGTAAATCTAAGAATGTAGTCCAGCCTTTTCTTCCAACACATACAGTCTTAAAATATACTGAAAATGTGTTTACTGTTCTTTATTTAATTTTATATTTCTATATCATTGTGTGGCTGCAATGACGTGATTTGACCTTAGAATCATAGGTGAAACTTCACTTATTCTACCGCAACTGCTTTACTGTTGTTTTATTGTATTTTAGTTAGAAATGTTAAAGATACATGAAAATATAGTGAACCAACACCAGAGTTTCTCGAAACAAACCAACACATAGCAGCAGCGTGTGCACCAGCATTACAGCTGGAGGGGCTAAGATTAGAGATGAGCTGCTGACAGAAGCTTCACACACGCACACACACACACACACACACAGAAAGACAATGAGCAGGTTCTCAGGTATGTGTGTGAAGCTTCTATGTTCCTGCCGACACCTTCATAAATCACACACACGCTCACACTCCAGGGGATATTCAATATTTAGCTCTGTTTTCCTCAGTCCTGAGGTCAACATCAGTCTTTTCTGAGTGACTACTTGTGAAGGATTTACAGCAGTCTTGTGATGAACGAAAAGTGAAATATGATGAAAATTGGAAATGTCATTACTGGAAATATTTTAATCTGAAGTCATCAAGTTTTCAGCCATTCTACCTGTAGAGTTTCCCACATTCTATGTTTGATCTTGGTTTACATTTAACATTGTCCTCTTGTTTTTATGCAAGTGTTGCTCAGAAAGACAAGAGGACATAACAGGACGTGATGCAGAGGTTTTGTGAATGTAGTTCAGAGATTTGGTTTTGTGTTTACAGTTTTTAGAAAAGGGTGAACAGTTTCAAGAAATGCGTTGTAGCAATTGTGAAAAACTGTAATAGCAATGTGGTATTATCACTTTTGTATCACAAGTGAAACACTGTAACTCATAACTCCAGTTTGTCAGGTAAACAGCCGTGTTTTCCACAGTGTTGTAAGTAAAGAAAAATGCATTCACACTGTTTACCTTGGCCAGAGGAGACGAGGAGACTGGAGGAGAGGAGAGGAGCAACGGCAACAGGAGCACAAAGACCGTCAACATCTGGGGTCGAGAGGAGCGATAAGGATGAGGTGAAAAGAGGAGGAAAAAGCAGAGGACAGCAGACAGAAGGAGAGGAAAGGAGGATGAGGTGGGGAAAGAGAGGAGAGAAGAAGAGAATAAATCTCAAATATTAAGCATTTTAATGGCAGTAAAGCTACTCAATTTACCACTACTACTGCTACTGCTAATGTAGTAGTACTAGTATTACTCCAACTTCTTGTAATATGAATATTACCACTACTGTTAATAATATCATTAAAGCAGTCGTACCTTGCCAGCCTTAACACAGTTTGTCCAAAAGCTGTTGCTCTGTAATCAGCAAGTCAGCCTTAAAAAAGCCTGTAAGATCCAGTCAGTCAGTATCCCCCAAAAATATGTGATGAGCAGTCAGTCAGCTATGAAAAAGTAAAAGTGAGTCAGTCAGGTGGTAACTTCATATCGAAATATCCAAATGATCAGTATGGATCCCAGTTACCAACATGGAGTTTATATCCAGCCTGCTTACTCTGCAGTGAAACAACGTGTGAGCAACAAAAAGAAAGAAGAGGAGGAGGGATGCTGGGAGAAAAAGGAGACCAGCTGTCAAGAGACTTGTCTCCCCCCCCCCCCCAAACACACACACACACACCCACCCACCCTCATGAAATTTAAAGAAGTTAAAAGCACGCGACCAGCTGACATGTTCAGACAGCGTTGCACAGCAGGAGGACAGGAGAGAGGAGGTGAAGTTATTAGTCATCTGACTGACAAATGCACAGTAAAAAAGAAATCATCTGACCTGTAAAAACCTGATGACATCTTTCTACAGGTTTAAACTGTGCTGTTTGCTCCTGAATCATCTGAAACTACTGACAAACTGGATATTTTTATTCAATGTTTTGTTTTACAGAAGGATAACAGAAAGAGCATGTTTTCTGTTAGTAACTAGAATGTGCATTAGACAATGTGTGTGAGAGCTGCAGGCTGTTAGCTGCAGCAGCTTTTCACATTCTTTAGTGCCACCTACAGGTAAAGTTGTATCGAATGCTACAAACTCATTCATCATCCCTGCACAACTGTGCTGGATTTGGCTATGATGCCCTTAGCTGGATTTGAACTCTCAACCTCAGAGCAGGCCCTCCCTTTAAAACCTGTGTTGCCAGGGGGCTCAAACTCACATTTGCTGAATTTACTGTAGGAACTGACTGATCATCTGACCCTATGTTTTGTGAGTTAACAATGCTTATGCACTGTTAAAACTGGTAAAACTCAATATTAACTAAAATAATACCAAGGAGCATCCATTATGAAGAAAGGTAGCACAGGGAAAGGAAAACAAAACAGCGGAAAGCCGGCTCATAGAGAAAATGATCATAGACCAAGAGCCACAAAGTTTCTCCACACAAGTCAAACTGGCAGCTTTTTGTAAAGCAGCTTATTGAAAAAACTGAAGCTATATATATATAGCAGCAGTGGTGGAATGTAACTAAGTACATTTACTTTTCATGACACTTTTTACTTCTACTCCACTACATTTCAGTTGTAAATATATTTACTTTACAAAAATATTTTTGCATTCAAAACTTATGAAGAGCTTATAAAATATGACCCTTTGATATTAATTAAACTATACCCAATATAGGTTCAGTGGAGATGATTCATTGATTAAAAGTTGATTAGTGATGCAAAAACATGTCATAGCTCCACCTTCACAAATGTGAGAATTGGCTGCTTTTCTTTTTAACTATTTGACTAATTAGATTTATTGGTAATCATTTTGAGGTTTGGGTGTTGATTGGACACAAACAATGTGAAGGTGCAACATTGGGCTCTGGGTAATTGTGATGGCATTTCTCACAGTTTTTACAAACCAAACAATCTATTGATTAATGGAAATAATTATTAGTTGCAGCAGTCATATACAAAGCAAAGCAAGCTACAACAGTATAATCATGTTGTAGCCTAAGAGGACATTTTTCTGCAATGGCATAATACTTTAAGTACATTTTCCTGATTACAGCAAAATGCTTTTACTTAACCTAGGTGGCATTTTTAATGGAGGGCTTTTGTGACAGAATACTTCTATAATGTTGTAATGTACTAGTCGTTTTGCTGTTGTTACTGAAGTGAATGACCTGCATACTTCCTCCAGTAGTAGTGTAACCTTATCAAAGGTGTATAGTCCCTGTGAAATGACCCCAGCAGTCCACCGTAGCGAAGCTGCTGTTTTGTTGACATTTTTTCTCCATCAGCTGACTGCCCACAAGTTAGCTAGCTGCCAGTTTATGAACAGCTCAGCACAAACAAACCCTCAACATGACTTCAACCTGCCAACACTGCCGTTCCGCTCTCACAAACCACAGACAGTTCACACAGTTGTAGAGGAGCACCAGCTCATGATGGGGGTTATTTTCTAACCCGCTGTCACTGGAGGAGAAACAGACACAGCTCAGCTAACGTGACAGCCAGCTAGCTACGTTAGCTCGCTAGTCAGTTAGCCTGCCGGGCGACAGCGAAAAGCTAACAGGCTAAATTAGCCGATGTAAAGGGACACAATGGAGGGGATTCTGTACAAATGGACGAACTACATGACAGGTGAGTCCTCTGTGCGTCTGTGCGACTGTCCCACTGCTGTTTTAGCTACGTGTCTGTCTGTGTATCCGTACACACAGTGACTGAATGAACGACGGTGTTTGTGTTAGCTAACAGGGCTGATAGCCTATCAAACATCTTCAGCAGTCAGACTTAAAGTTAACACTTACAACCGACGCTAATAAGATATTATTATCATTATTATCATTATTATTATAAGGATGCGACGTGGCATATGCTAGCGTGCCGCTGCCGTGATTGGTAGCGTTAATTGAAATGTCTCAACCTCCTAATATAACGTTAATCTTTCTAATTAATGTTAAATCTTTGGCTGTATGTAGTGTGAAGTGATACAGCTGACAGTCTTAGCGGCCAACACTATCATATCGGCGTCAAACAGACACAGTGTCATTTCACTTTTGTTTATTTGAACACATTAAACTAACAGCTATTATGTGACATTGAGGCAACGCACGACTTTACAGTCACATTATTCTATGCTGGTATCTATAAACAGCAACGGGGACTATAATGGCATTTGACCTTAGTGTAACAGCATAGCATGGTATAAATAATACTGGTGGAGGACAATTATACACTGCACATGACTGTAATGACTGCCACTCTGGCCTGCTTTCTGTCCTCTGTGAGGAAGATGAGTGTCATATGAACACATCTCTCGACTTTTATTGCACTTGGACGAGGAAGTAAGTCCTTGCTTTTGTCTGTGAGTCTGCTGTATCATGTGATCTCTCGCTCATAAAGATCTCAGTTCTAAACATGCACGGAAATTGAAATAAATGGGGCAAACTAAAGTGCCATAAAGTGAAAATAGCAGAGATGAAGCACTGTAAGTTTGGGCCATGGGGACATAAAATCGAAGACATAAACACCGTAATGAAAAACATAAAACAGGCATAGTTGCATAAAAAAGACTGCAATAAAAGGTCACATTGAAGGAATGCACATGGCAGAGTAAATAGAGTTATGTTAGATATACATATGCCCCTGTGTATATCTAACTTTACATTAAACGTATTTTCATTGTCATTCTGTTTTCCTTCGTCATACTCTTCCTTTAGGTGTTTCACTTTTTGCATTGCTCTGCTACAATAGTAGGAAAATGTCACTGATACTATAATGTCTATAGTCTTAATTGATTTTAAGCACATTTCATCACAGTTTGAAGATGTCCTGGTAACAAGTCATAAATCTTACGACTTTATCAGAGAGCCTTGTTTACACCAGTTTTACAGTTCTGCTTTATTGTTAGTGGGGAGTGTTTTTCCTGTAAAAACAGATGTAATGTTTTCTGTGGCTCTGGAGGAGCTGTGTCAAAACTGACATAATGGTTATCTCGGCTTCGGCTTCGATTCACACAATTTTTTAACAGAAAGCCCGTGTTACAAACTGGAGCTGTGGAGTTTGAGACACATTTGTGTTTACAAGTCACAGAGAATTTAAGGGAAAAACACTATTAAGTTGCATTAAGGGAAATGAAATGATTTAGTATTAATTAATGATCAAGTTTTCTTTTTCAGGTTCCAGGTTCTCAATTGTGGTGATCAGTTGCTTTTCTTTATTTATGTGAGAATGATTTGAATATCTGGGTTTTAAAACAAGCAGGCTGGAGACACCACCTTTGGATTTATGAAACTGTGATGAGCACTTTTTTCAGAAAAGAAGGTGCAGAGTAATCATCAACAATGAAAATAATCATTAAGGACAACCAAAGGCTGCAGCATTTTTGCAATATCTGGGTTTTTTGTGCACTGATTTTAATGTGTCTCTTGTTAGTCTCCCAATTTTACAGAAGTGCAATACAGTTACGTACCTCTTAAATTCATATTAAAAATGTGCACTTTTATTGTTCTTTGGAACAGTAAAAACTTCACACAAAGTCACATATTTGTTATTTAGGTTTTAAGGTTGTTTTCTGTTCTCAGGCTGGCAGCCGCGCTGGTTCGTCTTGGAGAATGGAGTCATCTCTTATTACGACAGCGAGGACGACGTTGGTAAAGGAAGCAAAGGATCCATCAAGATGTCCGTGTGTGACATTAAAGGTTAGACCTGTTTAAAGTGCCCGGCAGATCCACCCACCTGTCCACACTCATGGTGCTAAAGGTAAACACTGTTCATATCTTATACTTCAGTTCATCCGTCAGATCCAACGCGTCTGGAGTTGATCATCCCCGGCGAGCAGCATTTCTACGTCCGAGCTGTGAACGCTGCAGAGAGACAGAGGTGGCTGGTGGCTTTAGGCTCATCTAAAGCTGGAACTCTGGACAGCCACAAACATAAAGGTACACAGTTTGTATGTAAATCTGTCCGTGTACGACGTCTGTGTTAGTTCCTCTTTCTGACGCTCTGTGTGTGGCAAAATGACTTTTAAACAAATTCAGAAAACACCCGTTGGGAGACAGTTAAGTGAGTGACTTCTCTTTGAATTGGTCCTTAAGATTATTTGGTTGTGGCATGCTGTACATCATGTGTTAAAATGGTATTTACAATAAGTCCTCATATAAAAAGCTGGTATTCAGAGGCCAGTAGTTACTGAGAGCGGGGGAATTATCTGTCCCTTACTAGAACGGCTCCAGTGATAAATTCAGCTTAATGTACTAATAAAAGGAAGGATGTAAGAAAGAAAAATGTGCAGGAAGTAAGGAGTTTCTGGGTGACGCACATACTCACACTGTTTTAGCATTTAGCAGATTGCTCTGGTTATTACGTTTTACTAATGGAGGAATGAAAATGCCACTTAAATAACCGGTACACAGGGTGGAGTCTTATAAAAGATTTGTTTCTCTGTTTATGACTCACTGACTGTAGATTTATCTCATTGTGACGTTTTAGCAAAGATATCTCAACTGTGTGTCTGTCTGTCTGTCCTCCGCCAGGTCCTGACTGTCTGAAGACCAAGATGTCTGAACTTCG